TATAACCTTAACAATCCTTTTATTTGAAATCACAATATTAAATGTTCCAGCAGTCATAATTATTTTGTTCAGCTCAGTACCGTGGATAGCAAAGTTCATGTTTCAGAAAATCAAACTGATTCCCTTAATGGAAGGAACAGACCAACAATGTGAAACAATGACTAGAATTCTGCTGTCTGAATGCTTCATAACTACAGGCTGAATCATTATCACTAAATACTGATGAACCCTGTTCCCAGACAATGTCTAGGAAAACTGCCTATTCCTGAATGATGGAATGTCCATGTTGTGTGACACATCACAATGAGGAAGCGTAACCTATCAAATTCAGCATTACTTATGTCCCATGGCATGACATGAAGATCCCGGTGGGATATTTCAGTTATACAATAGTTGCACGATCAGAAGTCCACAGACAATCATGTACAACAATACTAACAATTCCTACACAAGCAGGCCCCCCTCTAGGGCTCCCTAAAACACACAGTCATCTGTCTAATAAGGAAGCACACTCGACCTCATTCGTTAGCTGCCCAATTCTTTCAGTTCGTATACCCTAAGGAGTGTATAAGTCAATATCACTGCCTGTCTTTGCAGCTGTTTGTGGGTGACTCAATCGCTAGGGGGTGGCCCAAATCTAAATATGGCATTTTTAATGTTTTCTTTTTGTCTCGATAGTAACAAGTGCAAAAACATATTTCAGTTCCCCCAAACAGCTGTTTTCGACATGAATTTCTTTCTAGCATTTTTATCACTTTGTTATCTCTAGTCATTAATAAATATCAAGTGATAGTTTTAATTTCTTTACCAGTGCACTACTGTAGTATTCTTATGAATATTTATTACATGAAGAAAAAGAAAAATGCATATTATCTCTTTCCCTTAAAAGCTGGCTTCATTATGGTTCTAGCTTCATGGTCGACACCATCAAAAGACAATTAAGTTCCTATCTTGTTTAAGGAGTTAATAAATCGTTCATTGAGAAAATGTTTACACTTTGATGAATGTCAGTGAACAACAAATATTGAATAATGTTCAAACAAAAAGATTTTAAAAGGTCATCAGAACTTGCCAAATGGCGGAGGATGTGGATGAACGCATCGAGTCTCACGGCCTCTATTAAACATCAAAGACTTTCTGCAGACCATTTCACAATGGACGACAGCATGGTCCCCATAACTTCATTCAAGAATTTATTTTGGAAACATGAACATGATTGGTGGGATGAATTCTGCAGGCAACGTAAACACTCCTGCATGTAGTTTACGGCAGAGGGTGGCCTCTGTCTGCTCATCGGTTCATGGATCAGTGGTCCAGCGCTTGGCTCGAGAGCATTTCTCAATTGTCTGCACAGCCGCTTGGAAAGCGTTGTAGATAATTTGCATACTGAGACTGAAAGCCTGTGACAGTATTAATCACTGCGGACCCTACCTTAATAGAATGACAAGTCCTAACGGATGACTCACAATCTGACTGTGGTCGTTGGTAGTGGCAAGATCACCAACGCAGGTATTGACGGCTAAAGGGACACAAAATTGACTTTCGATTTTCAAACAAACCCATTGGTTTCCAGTCATCCAAAAGTATAATGTGATAATCCATAACTGATTATGACTAGAAACTAAATATTACAATAAACGCCTTCATTTGATGATCGAGAAATGTTCACCACAAGAAAAGAATTGTAACACATCTCACGAATACTAACAGGAATTTGTCATTTGCTATCTGCCTTTCCAAATATTGATCTTATTAACAAACCTGTACTACATACAAGCTGAATTTTCATAGTCACCACAACTGCTGGATTAGATGCATAATTTACGAACACTATTAACACCTGCTAATTATGTCTCCCTGAACTGTCACTCCATTTGTTTCTAAATGAATAAGGTGCAAGGGTAGATCAGCCACAACACTCACGATTCCTGCATGTTTCAAAAGTGTTAGACTGCTTCACCAGAAGTGTGTTTAATAATGCATATATCTGTGTCATTCAATTAACAAAATCAATATTTGTTAAATTATTGAATAAAATGAACCTGATATAAAAACAGCACAGCATGTGGGGCATATTGAATAACGGAAATGATTTCTGCCACCACAAAGGAAATGTGTAGTAAGCGATATTCATTTGTCTCTGCCAAATAAAGGGACACAAATTCAGAAATGCATTGAAGCATGTCCATGTTAGACTGCTCTGAAAGTATGTTTCAGATGAATGATTCCAAATTATTGATAACAGTTTTGAATACAGCATCTTGCTTGCTTTAGCATAAGCACAAAAATCTTACTGTATATATGTGTTATTTTGTTTTATTTCAAAACCCTAAAGTATCAAAATAGATTTTAAATATTCTGACACAAACTTCATACAACTTAATTCAAAATCTGGAACAATAACAACCACAATATACAATACAAAAAATTTACATTAAACCCCCCCCATTAATTTCAAAAGTTCAGCTTTGATGAAAGACTAAAAACAATGAGTGTTTTCAATTGATTTGAAACTAAATTACAATTGTGAGTGATTTATCACAAGCCCTTTCAGGGTCCAATCTGCCTGCTTTCTCACCCATTTCTCTTCCTACCATACTGTGACATCTTGTTCCTCGCTGTCATTGCATAGGCTTGGTGTCATTGACAGGGCCTCGTCTTTGCATAATAAGACTTTGCCCTGAGGCTATCATCAGACCCCACAATTATTGATTTGGACGTTTTGTCTAAATCTCCTGTCTTAGAGCCATTAACTGCTAAAATTTTGTTTCAGCCTCCTTGTAAGACCTCCAGCTTTCAGCTGCCACATGGACCTTTTGGACTGCTTCATTAACCATCAGAATAGCAGATTTCAGAAAATACATTTCCAGAAATACCTTCTTTGGATTTTATGAGAACAAAATCATACGTTATTTTGTAGACAAATACAGATTTCTATCCCTTCGAAGGAAACCCCACACTTATTTGATAAGGGGCATTTGTTTAGTTAGAGGAATAATTAAATGTCGTGACCTTTGGTCCTGTAATTTGTTTCATGAAATGTACAAGATTTCCCCTAAAACTGATGATGACATTTAGAAAATCATTTAGCTCGAAGCTATCACAGATCATGAATTTATATTTGAAATAATAATTCCTATTATTGTGGTCATATACTGAATTATGTATGAGGTGGTATTGAAATAGAAAAGAGAATATTTTCCTTCTGCATGATTTTCGTGTGAATTTGGATAATGTCAAGTTGCGGAGATTACTGTCATTACTAGATCTACCAGGATTACTAGATATATGTAAAGCGAGCTCGGTATATGGGACAAGATACAGAGGAAGTAGCCAATCAAAATGTGTCACCAAAAATGAGGCACTTCCTCGGGAATTATCCGCAATTTGTCCGATCATTATCAAGTAGGGAAAGAGGCATCACTTTTTTGAGTGGCAGCTTGTCATCGTTGTGGGGGGGTCGTAACTCCCCACATTTTCTTCATCGGCAAGTCCCACCTCAAATCTCCCAGCAGAGAATCTGTGAGGATTTTATTTTGTAATACTGCACCAGGGACAGACTTCACACATGTGGAGATCTATAACCAGCGTCTTTGGTGTGGAGCGTGTACGAGCAGACGCCTTTTCCCACAAGCTCTATGAAGCAGTACAGAGTCAATAAATAAAGTGACCAAACAGTTTGATACTTGAGTTGGCTGGAACATCCAAATTTGTCACCAACCATCTTGTGTGGAATGATACGAGAACATCGCCCATTTCATCGTGGGGAGTCAAGGAGCAACATCGCCAACAAAGACCACTCTGTTTAGTGTTATGGTACAAATTCGAGCTGATGGTTTTCAGAAATGCCTCATTATGACAATTACAGTACATTAAAGTGATCTAAAATAATTGGCGCCAAGTTGGGTCATATTACACTAAAAGACTGTTAATTATTGGGTTTTTTATTCCCCCTGACAAGCCCTCAAGGTAGTGCCATCCTGAAACGCAACAGAGTATGTTCTTACCAGCTCAGGGCGAAGTGATCACCGATTTATAAGGAAACTGTCCATTTACCAATTATTCCCCTGAATGATGGATAGTTGTTAACCGTCCAAAGCAGGAAATATTTTCGCACATCATCATGTTAACTATTGAGTCATGCTTGGAGGATACAAGTCTGTAATTTCATTATAATTATTTCTGTTCTGTACTAAAGTGCATAAATTACTCTCAGTAATAGGCCAATATTGATGTTTAATGCTCGCATTCATTAGAACTTTTGGTACTGTAAATTGTCATAAAGGTTTTATCATTCGGAGCAGGATTTACATTAGCATAAAACCCTCCTTAAAATAATAAAGAAAGTTTATTGTTTGAAACATCCACTCTGGACAAAGCACAACATGAAAATACTATTTTGGTAAATATAAAACATATGATATATAAAGAACATTATGGCCTCTTGACATACAAAACAAAATAATAAAAATACTAATAAAATGAATATAAAGGTAAAATACAAATATAGGTGCTATTACACTAAAAGAAAAATTTGCATAGTTTCCGAGTAAAACAATAAGTGTGTATATTCTAGGAATAAGTGTACTGACATGCACACAACATGGCTCCTGAGGTTGTTGAAGGGGAAATTGTGTCATGTTGGTATTGTCCTTATTATATTTGTGTTTGATCAAGTTTGATATCATATTTCAATTGTGCCAACATATTCTGGGATGGTCTGTCTGTCATTTGTCATGACCTGCGACCACAAAATGGAGTTGGATGGCCCCATTTGTCTTCAGTATCCAGGACTGTCCCACACTGGGAGGTGGGCAGCAGCGGCCTCTAAACCCCTGCAAGCGACTCAACATGGTTGGAGATAGTTTTGTGGGAAACCTGATCATGATGACTGGATGTGTCAAGAATCAATCTTAAGTTAAAGCATGAAGCTAGCGACAGGGTGATGTAGGGAGCTGATGGAGGGAGGGTGATGGTAGTGAGGTTTTGGTCGTTGATGCAGGTTCGTGAGGAGTTGGGAGGGGTAGGAGCGGATGACGTCGCACTGTGAGGAGTTGGGAGGGGTAGGAACGGCTGATGTCGCACTGTGAGGAGTTGGGAGGGAGGGAGAAGCTACTTCCGCAGGATGGAAACCTGGGGAGAAGGAGAAGACATGACAGGAAATTCAATAATGGACGACTTCCAAAAGCGGGAGGAACTCCTGTGAAAAATGATGATGGCAAGAAAAGTGAGTGCATAAATCCCTCATTGATCACTCCAAGATGGCTGACAATGGAAACTGGATTTCCAGGCTGCCATGTCAGCGATAATACGCAATGTCACGACTTACAGATAGACACGGATAGGTATTTGACAGAACAGATGAGCAGATAACAGCATCACCGCTTGGTTCTTTGATAATACGCCTCTCCAGTTTCCATGATTAGATGGCACAGGTGTTGAAGGTATCCAATGTAGCGCTTCATGAAGTGTATGTCTCCCCGTTTAGCAAGTATCATCAATAATAATTAACAAACAAACCAACAGGACGAAGCAGTCACCGAGTGGATTTCTCCCTTCAGCTGCCAAATTACAGCTATCCAATGAGTCTGCATATTCCTAATTATATTCATCAATATGAATAACATATATTTCTGTTTAAACTCTAAATTTCGCATACAATTAGAGGATTTAAAGTATTCTAAAGTACCAGACCCTAAGTGCTATGATTCACTGAAACACAATGGCATTGATCCAAATTTTAATCCATTTTGAAAATTTGCATGTGAATAATAACTCACAGTATTAATCCTTTTAACTGCACACCTGTCATTGTTTGAGCAAAAACTGTTTCATAAAATTTAACCCTCTGGAATAATTATTCAAAAAGAGTCTGATCAAAAACAGCTAGGAATGATTTATCACGGAATATCTCAAAACACCGTTTATCCTAGACCAGTCTTTTCACGCTACACAGAGTGCTATCCGGCTTACAGACAACAAAGGAACACAGTTAATCAGTTAGACCCAGAATCTCTTTGTTAAAGACGCGACTGGAGTGATCATTAGAATCGGGCAAGAATTTCGTCCTTCCTAATCGACAAAGAAAAACAGGGCATAGTGTATGGTGAAACCAAGGCGATAGGGGATCCCCTCGAAACTGTTTTAACAGGTATTGTAGTGCGAGCTGATTCTCACACATGGGGAGTTCTTTTGATCAGTTGCTAGGAGAATATCGCCATAAAAGTGATCCATTTTGTTATTTTATACACAATTTCAGTTCCTTTCAACCGTGGACAATGTTTTATTTCATTCCAGGCAAGTGAAAATATGATCGCTTCCACAACAAAGACCGCGAATGGTTAGTCAACAATGACTGGATCATTTGACCACTTCGTAAGCCTCAATAACCGAGAAGTGTTTTGTAAAATTGGGGGGATTTAAGGAGAATTGAGTCTAAGCCAGAACAGGCCCCTACTTCATGTTCATGAGAATCGTATCAATACCGTTCGACAAATTCGCTATTGTGTCATCATGATAAATATTCAGTAGCACCAAATGTTTAAGAACCTAGTAAAGTGGCATAATGTGTGTGTATTTACAGCAAAATATGGTAATGTTATCTTCTTGTATATTTTTACATATAAAAATCAATTGTATGAATCATGGAAAATGTTGAAAAAATGTCCAAGTCAAGTAAGTAGATTTAACCCTAAGTATCCAATCTATCCTCCAAATTGCACACAACAGCATATTATGAAAACACAGACATACAATGTATCACTGTTCTAGCCTCGCACTATTTATTATCGATTATGCTGTCAAATATTATGTCGGAAGACAAATGGTCCTCGGACCATAATGCTTCAGCAACATGCAACACCATGCTACAAGCAACATCGTCTACAATAAACTGTTTCTCAAATTATGGTGGTCTTCTCAAGGGGGAGATAGATAAGTTATCTCTAAATATGGCAGCTGGCATTCTGACCATGGGCTATCTGACTACCTCTGCTACCTAAATCCTGCCCCAATGGTGGTGCTTATTCCCAGACCACCCCATAGAGCAGTAGGTGGCCAGTTTATCTCAGATTGCTCCAACAAGTGCCATCACTAATTTTACATCCTTCTTGACATAACATATATCAGATGTTGACTTTGGCATAATAAGTTAATGAACAGGACATCTTCTCAGTGGGTAACCTGACGTGGGTACATAATTACCCATCATACTTATAAACTGAGTGTGGAACCCAACTTCCTCCACCCCCAGGAGATCTGAACCAGATTCCTGAACTCCCTGGGGAGAATCCACATAGGGAGCATTCAAATCAAAAGAAAGTGTATTCACTTCCATGTACACTCACAGCTTGAATGAATTAATTAGAAGAATTTCCTGAACTAATCACAGCCAGATATTTCAAACACAATTTTTAGTTGCAACAAAATAACTATGCCTCAGTTCAAATATGTATTGAAATGATTGGGGAAATGCATAATCATGAAATAAGAAGGTATATTAAGAATAAATATAGAAACAATTACAGAAATGCATTATTATGAAATAAGAAGGTATATTACGAAAAAATATAGAAACAATTTGCATTATCAGAAATGCATAATCATGAAATAAGAAGGTATATTAAGAATAAATATAGAAACAATTACAGAAATGCATTATTATGAAATAAGAAGGTATATTACGAATAAAAATAGAAACGTTTACAGAAATGCATTATGATGAAATAAGAAGGTATATTAAGAATAAAAATAGAAACGTTTACAGAAATGCATTATCATGAAATAAGAAGGTATATTAAGAATAAAAATAGAAACGTTTACAGAAATGCATTATCATGAAATAAGAAGGTATATTAATAATAAAAATAGAAACGTTAACAGAAACGTGTAATCATGAAATAAGAAGGTATATTAAATAGCTTGTTTCACATACTGTCAGCTAAGATGGTGACTGATAAATTGTTATCAAATATTACATCTGAATCAATCAACAGTATCCTATCTGTGGAGTATCAGCTTCCTATCTCTCCCTTCCCTCATTACACCAAATCATATCTAAACTATCACCAGAATGGAATTCCTGCTGTGAAACAGTGAAGCTCTGTCCAACTTTGGTCCTGATTAAACAGCTTTACAAAGAGACGGGATTCAAATTTTCTTCTTGAACAAAAGACTACATTTACTGTTTCTAAAGCTAGCAATGTCCTTCCCATTAAACATTTTGTTGGTCTACAGGGGGGTCTGGTCGAGTGGAAGAGGAGCTATCAAGAGACAAATGCCATAATAAAAGATGCATGTCTTCTGACAGATTAAACATTATTGGGGAAAAGGAATTTGCCATCTGGCTCATATGAACTGCCTGCTAAATTAAGCATTGCTATTCATTGCTATTCACTTACTTACTTATCAATCTTTTCCACCCAACCAAATCAGTCAGTAACCATTTCTATATTGCACCCAAATTGTAAACTCAAGTGCAAAACGTTCTGATTTTATTCCATTGAATAATGCGAACTACAGGATAAAAATATTGGGAGGATGTAGTTCTGAAAATAATGATACAATTTATTGTTCTGCTGATAGATTAATTCAAAAGGCAGCCATGCACGCTTAGGTGCAGTAATATTTTCCACCTAATCAATGCGCTGTGATTAATTTGGCCACAACATGCAATGGGCGAGTTGCACTGTCTCCTGCACTGAAGCATTCACTTGAAACCATCAGCCTGGACGAAATGGAAGCAGTAATTCACACACAGTATGGCAGGGCAGAAAGTAATATTCCCTTATACGGCCTTGATAGCTGAGTTCTCATCAGCACTGTATTTAACCCACAAACTTACATCAAAGAAGCCCCCTTGATTGATAATAAGGTGTACGTTACGGGAGAACATGACGGAAGAGGCCCGAGCTTTGGATCTGCCACCATCTCATTTTTTACAAACTATCTCACCATGGGAATACTCCTTTAGTGATTACAGAAGATTCAAACTCAATTTAACTCTGCGAAATATGTCTTTCTGAAGCATAAAGGAAATCAGATTATTTCTTGAATACAATACAGACAGATAGTCTCATGGTTTTTGCTTTATAGATGAACTATTAAAGAATATACATGCAACACCTCATAAGGTATATTCCCACTGCAGGTCGGGAGAGTATCTACACATGCTGTCTGAGAGGACAAGTCAATGCGGGCCTACAAGCTGGGGACTGTAGCTGGCAAGGCAATTCAGGCCTGCAGGCAGACTCCTCCGATGGCCAGACTCCTCCGATGGCTGCCAACAGATCTGGTTTGTGTGCTGAAGCTGCCATGACAGTCAATATATTGGAATTCTGAAGAACAGGAAGCCTGTCGCGGTGCAATATTTTCAACCTCAATAAAGACAGTCGACCATGTTAAGAATTAATGAATTCTTGCTTCAATATGCCACATACAGAGAGAAATCAATGATGGCCGACCTTTGCCTGGTTTGATACTATCAACGAAATATAAAATATCGAAAATATTTCTTGTTTTACCTCTCAGGCAAACCTCAGTATTGATCTGCATAGCAGCAAACCAAGTTCGAAATGATCAACTATGTATTTAGTTTCTGTTTAATAATTAAAATCTGTTGATGAAATTCCCTAGCAATTTCCTGAGGCTGTACTTCTGCTGAACTATCTCGATTCTGCAAAAATGTTAGATGATAATTTGAACCGGTGGGTGTCAGCGTAGAGATCAGAGTTTCAAGTGAACAATTAACAAGACATCTCAGATTGCATGGTATTTTTCGCAGAGAAAATATCAAAATTATGAAAATGGTTTACTTTGAACTGATCGTAGTACACAGTTGCATGGGAAGAATCGATAGCCAATGAAATTTAATCTTTACAAGGTGGAAGAGGGGTCAGTAATGAAGCCAAACAGATACGCTCCAGACTTTCATAAATGAATTTTACAGGAACGTGTGATGTATACGATTGGGGATCAATACCAGCATGCCTTGCGGTGTGGCGGTATCTGCTGACAATCCTATAGATCAGAAAATGCCTATTGACGATTGGATGGGGCAGGTTTTCACCTTTCTTCTTACTCCGGCAGATGCCGATCAAAAACAGGTGATTATGGGAATGAAATTTGCATGATGGGTTATTGAACGTCCAGCACCTTCTGAGGCTGTCCAGCTTTGAAGTGTGAGGCGGTTGTCCTGTTTACAAGCATAGCAATGCGCCATATGTCAAATACAAAAGCATGCTTCTACAGCCTCTATCCACAGTAAGCCTACATTCTCTCCAGGACTCTGCCCCCCAGAGATGTCCTAACCTTGGTACACTGTTATCAAAAACTGTTGCAGACTTACTACTATGTGAGTAAAACGGATGACTCTTAACACCTTTTCATCTTCACGTACTTTATGTACCATTGGCAAAGCTTTTATCAACCCAGTGCCGCGGGCATAAGAATGATTTGGGAAGCTTTTAAGATCAAAGACATTAGGAGTTTTTTTAACTGTTTATTTGTTAGCATGAGTAGGAATTGTTGTTCAAAGGCTCATTGTGAGAAGATCTGTGCTGTTTGAACACCATTGCTGAAGGGAACTGTCCATTCGGTTTATGAATGAAATGTACGAGAGTCTGCATTGTCTGATGCTCTGCAGCTGTTACGTGTATCAAGTGGTAATATCTTATTGACTGTCCAACAAATACTAAACAAGGGCCGATTAGGTTGGAAATGTTACGACCCACCCTCCATATACTCAGCATCGTCATGTGTTATTTATTAGGCTTTGGATATATGCATAATTTAGGGTTATCAAAATGAGCCAGACCATTCCTTTGAATAATCGTATACAAAAATGTCAGCTATCCAATTTCAGACTCCATTTCACTTACAAATTTTAGCTTCAAATTAAAATTGATCTCAAAATTAATCTGATAATGCCATTTTTTTTAAAAACTAAAGATAATAAAGGATGAAATGAAATTTAGAAATGGTAACAGTACCACTGACTTGGGCACATGGCATGTGTGTTCGCTAATATTGAGTTTCCTGATTAGAACAGGGACCAAAATGAGATTTCATGCATACCAAACTTTTAGAAAATTAAAGTCTGCAGGGGGTGAAATATTCTACAGGAGCTGGAATTTAAATCATGCACACACTGTTTAACTAAGGAGCAAAATTCCCTCACACTCTCCGGAGGGAGTGCAGTATCATCCAATTGTTTATGCCTAAATTGTCAAGTGATGCAATTTGTGGCAAACTTGATTAGCACAGCAAATAGCATTGCCACTCGACTACCCCTCCTAATTGCAATCCCCAATCATAGAGGACACAGTGCTAGTCTACCTCCTCACCAGATCTAAAATCCAGATTTCACACTTACGATGGGGGAGCATTACCATTGCCACTTTTCTAGTAAGAAGAACATGCCGTCTCATAAGATTTTTTTTTTAAATGAACAATGTCTGTAAAAAACTGACAAAAGGTACTAAATCTTTGAATACGAGAGTACCGCATGCCAAATGTTACATTTTTCTTTTTTTTCCAGATTAGTTTTCTCTCTGGATGAATTTTTCCTATTTGCTATGCTAATAAAAAGTTCCCTTCCTTCACAGATAAGCTAATCTTCTTCTACCTGGTCCGCAGATCAAGGAAAGTGTCGAGTTTTTATACAACTACATATTCTGGAAGGGAGGAAAACAGGACACCTATGAAAGTACTCGAGCAGAGGACGTAAACATGTCAGTAAATAAGACAATATGAACTCATATGATTCTCAGGAAATGCACTTCAGATCCTTTAAGAATATCTTTAAATAATGGGCATTTCTGACATTGGAACATTTTGAAATTAAGTTTGTCACAGCGCTGTGTGCATTGAAGAGTTTTTTTTGAGACTTGTGTGAGCTCCACGATAATTGCCACCTTTGAATAATATCTCGGCACTTCCCATGAGGCATCAGTATTATTTCGGTTTCAGCATATTCCTTTCTGCCTGTAGTTTACATCAATTGTGGTACGGTTAATTAAACATATTTTACATCCTACCTCAATTGTCCTTTGTGGCTAACTACATGATGGCGTTTTCATGTTCACAGAAGTGACAGTTAGAAACATTAAATTGCAACCACTTCTAAATAATATTACACCACACATGCTCTCAAACATTGACATGAAGACATACATTTCAGTTTAGAAACACCTTTGTCACCGAACTCACTGGGACTCCATCTTTATAGATGGAGCTGTTTGTTTCTATACAAATTATATATTTGTAATGAGTTTCACCATTGTAATGAAGGTATTTGTGTGTACTGAATATGTTTCACGTCTGCCTTGAAATTCTGAAGAAGCTGTGAAAAATGTCCATTTCCTTAAATAATCCCACACAAACACAATAGATGCTGGAATGAGCTGTTAGTACAGAGGACGTCCTCCAACTAAGCTCAGCAGTAGACAACACTAATACGCATTGTAATAAAACTTCTTGAGGTTTGCAGAAGTGAAGATAGTTGAGATGAAAGACATCAAATAGAGGATTATATTACCCATAAGGTCAGAAATATCCAAGTGCATAAAACCTGCATGTGCCTTTTTGCAAATATCATTCCATGTGCATTTCATTGTTAATGTCAACTGGTATTGTTGGAGCCTACTGTGACGTGGGGAAGAATGACGTCGCACCAGAAGAATATTATTGCTGAAGATTGTTGTCATCCTAGTATTGTTTCTAACGTGGTTGTAATCAGAGCATTTTTATAGGGGTCTCAGAAGGATAAAGAAATAATGACATTTTTTTCTGATTTTACAAAAGTCATGTTAGAATCCATGTATTGCCCTTGCTCTGAGAAATACACATTATATGTTGTATGGTAATCTCTATGTTTGTACCTCCAATCTAAAGAATATCTGGAACAGTCAGGTGGGGGAGCTGGGATGACAGACGTTGTCAAATAAAGGATTATCTCAACAACTGGAGAGAGTTGAAAACAAATTTCCATGTGGATGATATTAGTTGGACGTACAGCAGAGAGTTCAGTGAAAGTAAAAACAAATAATTGGATCAGGACCAAGCTCAGTCTGATAAAAGTGGCGAGAATTCCTCCGAGGATTACTATGAGAAGTCTGAACATCTGTCATACACTGGCATATTGTATAGCATGGAGCCCGTCAGCTTAGTCACATGGCCTGTTCTACACAGTGCACATCCACTCTCCCAGCTTCATAAATATTCAAGCCAACTCAATACCTCACTGTTATGTGTCAACCGTGTTTCAGCAAATTTTGGTTAGCTTCAAACTTGCAAATCGGAGTGGATTATTTAATATCAATACCAAGGCTTGGCTTGGAAGAATTACATTTCTCTTTTTCAGCTTCTACAGATTTTGGCATGACAGAAGGGAAAAAACATGGTTGGAGAACATTTTCTTCTGATAGATTCCTGTGATATGTGGACTGAGAAATATGGAGTTATGGTGTCAGTATTGCTGGGGAAGTAGGAAGCCATGAGCACTGTCTAAACCAACAAACATTTCCTTCAGTCTACATCAGAAGGCTTTACTGCAACTTGACAAGATTAATACCATAATTCTAAAAACTTGTATGGTGGAGTCTCTGTGTCTCTGAAGGCACACCCTGCTATCATCCCTTATAGAAATTCAGCTACAACACTCAAATGTGTCTTTTTTAATCTCCAAATGACAATACATTCTGTATTTGCCTGATCGGTTCATCATTCATCACAAATATTGTAATTCCTCCACACTAGAACATTAATCAATACCAATTTTATCCAACGTTTTTAAGCTCAAAATTAAAGCAAAATTTAATTGACTATCAACACAATACAGTTCATCAAAATATGTCGATGATAAATGCATTATACCAAAACAATTGTAAAAAATTAATTTTAATTAAAAATTGCCATATTTTTTGTAAAATATCCATTTCAAATACAGTTACATAAAGCAATATTTGAACCATATTTCCGCATATTTATTCATCAAATTATATTTCCACTACAATAGGGAGGGAGGGAGGATGTGAAACAAAGACAACACAACCTTGCCGATAAATGTGAATAACCCGCTATATCACCCTACCAACAAATGAGGTGTGTTGTGTATGCATATCATAACACGCTATGTGACAGTGTAAATATATACAACGGGGAGGTTAAAAAGATTCAGAAATGAATTGAAAGCACAACAAGAATACTCAACCTTGGTAGCAGAAAATACTATAGGGATCGACATGTGCAGGTCTGCTGTGCCTCACTCGGGCAAATACCCAGGGGGAATTGAAAAGACGAGAATAATGTGTGCTTCAGAATAGAGATACTACGGCTTCAGGGTGGACCAAAAAATGCATACACCTTGTCATGCATTCACCCTTAATTCAAAATCATTCAATAAGAATATTTGTTCTTGGTAGACGTTTTTTCCCCAATTGAAGTAACTTGTAATTCAAGGTAGACATGCGAGTTGAGGATGTGACACCTCCATTGTGTATTTCTTGTACCATGGCATGTCAGTATTATTCATGCTTCTACTTACGTACCGAATTAACATACATGAGTACCCCCCAATCTCATTAATTATTCAGTCATTAAAAACAAGTGATATGCGACACCTGAGTCTAACAGAACAGCTTATACAGTTAGACCGAGTTCAAAATACAAATTGATGATAAATAAATACTTTATTAACTATTTTAATATATAATTAAAAGTGTTTGCATGATGACCTAATTTGACTGATGACATAGTTTGTTTCTGTTTTTTGTTGCTATCAATATGGGTTAATCTATGCTGTTTTTTTCCTATATGAAATTTGCATAAGCTTTCAACAAATCAATATTTAATTATGAATATTTTATCATTTCGAATATTTCAACTCAGTGAAGCAATAGAAGCTTATTTTCATAAGATATAAATGAATAATTTGTAGACAGAAAAAAAAAGAAATAATTTTGCAAACGAGAAGATGTGCATCCATAACATTTACCAAAAACATGTCATTTCTAGATAATTATACTTATCCCATGATGAAAATGTATGTATCCTTTGAAGCAATATTAATCCTTTGTAACGACATATTCACATAATAATCCATTTAGCGGTAAAATCCATGGGTGACACATGCTTGGAACGGCTGTCTCCTGTCGATATGAGACGCACAGACACAATACAACAAAGAATGGATAATCCTTGGTCAAATCCATCTGAATATTGACAGGAATCAAAGAAACAGCTGAAAAAAAGGCACAAGACACAAGCCAAAGACTGGCCAACACTGCTTGAAAGACTGAAACCATGGCTGTGGTCGGAGTACTCACCTGCGACAAAAACATCCCCGAAGCTTCCAGTGAACACAACCCATAGTAATAGTAGCATCCGTAAGGATAGTGGACATGTTCCAGCCTTTCTTCTAGCCATGTCTGTCCAGGTGTAATCCATGTTGTGGTCAGTCTAGTACACTACACAATCCACACTTTGTCACACCTCATGTGGAGGGTGTCCCCTTCTGTAGACACAATCTAAGACCAAATGCAGGACGGCCGTGTCTCCGTTAACTGTCGATCCATGCGGCAGCAGACAAGCATGCTTCTGTCAGCCTCTCTCCCTGCTTGGAGCACTGTGGAATAGCCAACAATCTCTTTCAATATAAGGTTCATTATGGAGTTGGGCAGGCTCATTATGTGGTGGGGAGGGCAGGTGGGAAATGTGGCTAGGCTGATGTAGGAGATGGGTTGTTCTAAGTGGAAACCCCTGTGAGGCTGCTGCCCTGTGTTTAACATTACAGTGCTGAAGGCTACCCCCTGTTTTCTCCCATTCATAAGTGCTTTCACACATAGCAGGACCATGAGGGTAGTCCAGTCCTCAGGCTGGCACATGTGTGCTATAGTCATTACAAGGCCTTTCTACACCTACTCTTCATTAAAATTTATAATGAAGTTGAGATTATGTTGTAGATCTTGACATTCATTTTGTAACTACTGATGCTAGAGTTTATTTCAACAGCATGAAAATTTGGAGAACACACATTTTCTATGTCATCTTCAGCCTTCGTTATTCTATCAACTCTATTTTCACCATATGAAAAGACTAAACATAATTCAAATATACACTACTTAAAGAAGTCCAGGACCTGATTCTATCATATTACTACACTTAACCTTCATACAAAGAGAAATTATATAGTACTGACTGACTGACTGAGTTTGGTTTTACGCTGCTTTTAGCAATATTCCAGCAACATCACGGCTGGGGAACACCAGAAATGGGCTTCACACATTGTACCCTTGTGGGGATTCAACCCGGTCTTCGGCGTGACGAGCCAACGCTTTAACCACTAGGCTACCCCACCACCCCAATTATATAGTAATGTTAAAAAGTCCAGTTTTCTTGAACTTTTTTGGGTAGCATCTGTTTCTTTTCAACAATAAAAGCAATCTGGGGTATTCTGAAGAGCCGATTCATTTTTTAACAATAGATATAGCAGTATGTAACTTATGAGATATAAATTATATATTACACATTATAATTTTTCATATAGATGTGAAAAATTATAATGTGTAATATATCTTTACAATATTTCAAAATAAAATAGATTTGCTGATGTTGAGAGACAGAGTATTTTATGATGTTATTAACATAACCCAACAGTTTACAGGAATAGTTAATCTTTCACCCCCATGTCATTCAAATCACCATGGTGACATTTAAACAGTGAACAATCCCTCATGTACAGCGGAGTTTTTACAAAGAAGCATTTGATGTGTCAGCCTGCCAGGAATGGTCTTGATGTCTAGAAATTAATCATTTTGAACTTCCCTTATTTTTTGGTGAAACTAAATTGAACAATTACAATCACAGATTGAATTGAAGCAATGAGGGATTCTTACACAACACAGAGGATGTGACTTTATTGTGAATAGCTGTGAGGAAAACTAACCAAAAAAGTCTTTTAAGTGTTAATGACATATGTACCGGTATATCATACAGGTGAAAATGTGAAATATTCAATATGATTTACAAAAATGAAAATCTGAGAATATTAATGGTGACCTGACATGTCCAGAATATGCATTGTTGTGTTTTTTTGCTATTCAGTTTTAAAAAATCCATGAGAAAAATCTTGCATGTTAATTCCACTGTTAGTTTTTCAGGTCCACAAATTCACTTCTATACTTAACCATGAAAGTTAGGGATCATGATAAGTTTTATTGATATTATTTTAGGTGGTTTGTTTTAATGTGTACAGTATATAAAAATGTTTATGATTCTGAACTTTTTTGTTCAGCATCGATTTTTCAAAACTTTTTTTCATTTTCGTCTTTTATTTGTTTTCGCTTTTCTTTGAAACCCTCCCATAACAGATTGTCCTTGTATTGGGCGACCCTTTTCCTTCCCCTGTCCTAGCCACCATTCCCATGATCAGTGCCTGACTACACACATAGAAACAGTTACTATGTAACATTGGACATCTTCTCAAAGGATAATTTGAAACAAATTGTACATGTCACAAATAGTTATAACAAGTTATATGGTGTTAAACTTTGGGAATTTCTGGTTTGAAGTCCCCTGTAACACATGTTGGTAATACAATGTCGAAATGGATCAGGTGTTCAGCCTGGATGACTTGGTTGACAGTGTGTCATTATATCCCTGTGATCGTTGCTTACAATATTGATCACTGTCTCTCCAAGACCTGATCATTGTTGTTCAGTAGCTGGACAATTGAGCAGTGTTAAACATCTAACATACAGCCTGGATACCGACATAGTGTTAATCAATACAATACTTACACTGTATTAGATTAGTCTGTCTGTATCTGTGTCGTGAGCCATGAGGGTTATACTACTCAAAATAAATAGGGGTCACCCAAATCTTTCATATTCTATGTCATGTACAGATTAAATAGTTATAGGAAATCATTGGTGATCCTTATACTATTTTGAGTAGTGTACACAGGTCTAATGCAGCCACTCACAAAAGAAACAAAATTGACCAGTTTAACTACATCCTAGAAAGGCTTAGAGTTACACCAGATTTCTTCACTTAAAAAAAGTTATACAGACCAGTAGGTTTCCTTCACCTGTAAATTCAGCTATGCAGGTATGTTCAAGGTACACCTATCAAAGTAGGTGTACACAGAGCTGAGAGGTGAGTACAAAGGCTATAGAGAGCGTTTCCCTCCCATTTCACACATACCTAACTTCTAACCCTCTGGTAGTGACTCCAGGCTTAGTTCCCTTCACACCTCGATGCCTTGTGTCAACATTGCTTGTAATGACCATATCTTCAATAGGCTCACTACTGCTCTAAACACTTCCATACTTACAAAGGTTTTTGAGAAATCAAGTGTGAAAAATAATGTATGGTTAATCAAATCGGCACACAGCTTGATCATGGGCCCATGAAGCCTCGGGCTGTTGGAAGTATGTAGTTAATCTACTACAAACCACACACACTGACTTTACATAAACTTTCCAGGTATTACAGGGTAACTGCAGGTAGAATTCTTTGTTTCCACTTACAGTTAATCGAGGCTGAATAAATCAGGTGACTGAAGTCAGGTAGATTTAAACCATAAAATCTTTATCAGATATGAATGTCCAAAAGGTTGTTTAGGAGCAAGATAATTTACTACAGCTAATTTTTAAAACGATCATATTGTCAACTATTTCAATAGAACAGCAGGATAAGTATTTAATAGCCCTAAAGGATTTGGCGACTATAATTTCAATGTGAGTTATGTTGTTAACTTCTTGTGTCCCCCCATGATGTGGGTGAGTGATCGCTCACCTGGAGAGACAGGTAAATCACTTACACAGATGTCCCACAAAACATGAGCACCCTCACCAACAAGTCAGCAAGAGCACAGCTTTGATCAGCTGCATAAATCGAGGTTCACAAAGTAAAGATGTCTTCATATCGGCTCATAAATTCCACGATAAGGGTCATTCCAAATTTTAATGCTACTTATGTGAAAAACCACCCAGGCTGTTTTTTTGCCAGTTATCAATCCTTTTTTTTCACCATTGTGTTTATCTTCTTAAAATTTCACCATTTTAAAAGTAACATTGTTTTGGATGTCAAAATGCTTTGGTGTTTCATCTGACAAAGCTCATTTTTTTTCAATACTTGGAAGCTGCGAACTTATGGGTTGTTGTAAAATACTAAAATTATGACAAGGCACTGAAAACATTTTCCTTATCATTTTGTTCTTATTATCATTTTATAATATTAACCAAAATTTTGAGATATTACAATTCATTTTTACTACATTGTCAACAAAAGCAAAAGTTGTAGTTCAGATGATTGTGGATATAAACGACTAAAAATTGTCTATTGAGACACAAAGATTAAGCTTGAGCACTGAATTCACACAATTTTAATTTCTCGATCAAAATAATATGATTAAATCTGAACTCAACTTTCATGGAACACATAATTAATAAAAATATCATCTCTATGAACCTCTTTATTTCTCATAAAATGATGCTCGAATGTTTTCTTCAATAAAAGAATGTTTCCTTACAGTTTACAGAATCACCAGATTTGTGAAGTCCATCCTATGAACAAGTCCCGATCACATGACACTTCATATTGTACTCCTGCAGTTTGTGGTTTGCACAAATGTTGAATTTTACCATTTTGACGAAAAACATTAAGAGATATTTATATAATTATATTCTAAGTATAAACAATAGATTAATTTGATATACATTGTTATACCATGAACAAATATGGGCCCATTTTGTTCTTGTACATCCTCTGGAGTTCCAAGTTCATCGCTTTGCAGTTTTGGAACTGACCTGGACATCCTGGGCCATGTTCACAAAGCCATCTTAGTGCAAAGATGATCATAACACTATGTTAAAGTCTTTAGTTACAATCACCTGGAGATTGTGGAATTGAGCTAAAAAATGCATGCAAATTTTATCCAACCTGAGATCAAAATAAGCAACTCATGAAGATCCAGGTTAGAATTGGTCTTCAGCAACTCATCCTTGTCCTAAGAGGCGACTAACTGGACTCGATACTCATGATGCTGATCACTGGATTATTTACAGACTGCTGCCATAAAGCTGGAATATTGCTGACTGCTGCGTTAAACAACCAACCAACTCTTAGTTACAATCACCTTAGGGCTAAGATCATGGAGATTTTGGAATGGAGCCCTATTGAGCTTAAAGCAAATGTAAGCAAGTTTGATCAAACTTAAGTTCAAAACTTGCTTAATGCTAAACAAGGTTGTACCTGTGAAGGTTACATTTCCTTAAAACAAGCACAAGACCACTAATTTTTCTCTGTACAGTTTCCATTTCATTCCATCCACTACTTGACACACTGCTAATTAATTAGCTTCACATCAAACATTCAGCTCATAACACCCACTAGAAAAAATGCCTGTGATATTGTTGCCATATATGTAATTGCTTGTCGGCATCTGAGTGATGTACGGATAGCAGAAATGTCCTGGGGACTATCGTAGTCATCTCAACCAAATAAAAGGAAGCCTTTGGGTTAAAGGTTACCATACTTCATATATCAACTGCTCTGAGCTTGAAACTATGTATCTCATGAAGTTGTTCTTGAGACCCTGGAGCATGATGCACTGTCACAGCT